TTCGCCCATGATACTCCCCATGCGTTGCCATTCCTGAGGACTCAGGTGTAATTTCTCTGTACCCTTAAAATTCACGCCATATCCCACCCTTCAAACCGAAACACAGCCATGCCAACACAACTGCTTTACGGTTGAAACACGAATGGGACAGAGGTACTCAAGCAAACGACTTTTGTACAAAGTCTCCCTCTGGTCTGGTTTTCGTGTTCTTACTGAAATATGAGCATGTAGAGTATTGTGTTCACTATAATAGCAACAAATACCTCCTACACCATTAAAGATTAAATCTATGACAATATTTCTGATGATAATTTGGGACTAATCACCTAGAAAACAATCACTAGCTTTATTGCCAAAACGAGTAATGTAAAAACGAGTGCAATTTTAATTTGCATGTTAAATAGGAACCCTTATAATAAATTAAACAAATAATTGGAAACAATTGTATAATTATAGCAAAAACAAAAGAGAAATGGAACCAGATGGACGAGGCCTATACCCAATATGGGGGTAATATCCAAAATACTACATAACAAATAAATTACATAACATAAAAAACAAAAATAAATATAAAGATTTGTTTGTTAATTTTTAACACTTTAACAGTTTAACCAATCATTATGAAATTTAATATACACGTATTATATGGAATGGAATGGCCAGTAAAGATACTCGCGAACAAAGTCGCAGATAAAAGATTGTTTACAATATTTGTATTCGATGATTTCAATACAGACATAGTAACACTTACGCAGGTGCCAGTAATCCCAAACTGAAAGTCCCTGAACAGTCTGTTTATCAAGGCTCCTGAACAGATGCTAATCTGATTATAAGTCGCCCCCCCCCCCCACTCCCCCAATCGCGCAGTCGACTCCAAATTATCCCTTTAAAGAGACTCTAAATCAGAATCACGGGATATGGCACCCGGGGGAAATTAAATCGGCCTATCAACAACGAACTGTGACCGTCCCAAAGTTGTAAACATAGTTTTATGGTGTGGCCTCCATTTTCGGTACTCCAAGTTGAATTCCTTTAAAGGTTATATTTTTTATACTGCTGGGAATGGTAAATGGCCCGCTTGATGGAAGGTCGTAACCGTTGGCTATAGAGAGGAACAATAGAATGGTCGCCAGAGCACAACTGTGCCGCGCATGCGCTCCGGAAGTACTTTCAATTTTATACAAAGAATTCCTGATGCGTGGCTATATCTTCTACGTAAACAGCCAAACGGAGTAAGCATTTTAAATATAACCACATTAGAAAGAAACAGTAGAAAGGGGGAATGATAGAGAGAGACGACAGTTCGAGAAATTATTTGCAATCGTCGACTTCCCAAGAAGTAATCGCCATATCAAGAGGTTACTGCTATTGCAATCATCACCTACTGTCTATTAATGAACATAAACCTCCCCCTATTGGGGAATTTTGCCAGTAATTGCCACGCTCAGCAGGCGAGTTGGTAACCACAGTTAGGCTTTGATTATGTTTTAAGATGGACGCTGATGCTTATTCCTCGAAAATTACTTGATCATTCCATTAGCCTTCTTTTACAACACCCACTGGATAGGAAGGGGTAGCCCATTCTATTCCGGGATCACACGGTATGGCTATTGTAATAAGATCGGTAACTCAGATTCCTGATCCCGAAAGTCGAAATTCCTAGATCTATCCCTTGCAAGTCAAGTGTCTTCTACATAACGTTACAATGGAAACTGATGCAACGAATAGATTAGACTAACAATAACTAGCTCGACTCTAATATCCACTCGAATTGACTAAACACCCTGCTCCTCGTCATGCCACCAACTCGATCCACTAGTGGCACGAGACGTTTAATTGATTAAGTGCTCGAGCTCGAGAACCCGGGAATAATTTCGATGGCTTTGAAACAAGGGACTTTACGCTACGTGACTATAATTTAGAGTTACGAGGAGTAGTAAATACCTGCAGCTTGAAATCTAGGAATGTTTGATGTATATTTAGATGACAGGACACACTAGCGTCCAGTAAACCATGAATTAATAGGTCGTATGTTTGATGACATGTCATTTCATTTCATACTGGTACCACCCGTCAGTATATATACAGACCTGGGCAAATGTCGGCCCGCGGGCCGAATCCGACCCGCGGTAAAATTTTGTCTGGCCCCTGAAGCATTGTATATATTTTTATTAAAAACACAAATATTAGTTTTTGTCTAACATAAATTGCTGCATAAAAAAATATTTAGATAAAATATTAAGCAATACTTATACACATTATCAAAGCCAGTGGGAGCCAAAATTTTCTCCCGGACACACCGCTCTTTTCAGCGCTTAATAAATATTTTGATTCAAAAATGTTGGTTTTAAAATTCATTAATTAACATCCTTAGCAAAAATTAAACTAAAATTGGAAAAAAAAAAACTGTTTGGCCCGGGGTCAAATTTTCATCTGCAATGTGGCCCGACCGATATATACCGATAGCGCAGGCGAGATTATCATTCCATTATCATCCATTAAAAAAAAAACATGCTAAAAATGGCCAAGTAAAAATAACCAACTCGTAATCGGTGATTTTGTATTGATTAATAAACTGAGAGATGCGTTCGAATCAAAGCATTTCGCGTCCTATTGTTTATGGTTACCGTAATGGAAGATGGGGACACACGTGACTTATGGATATGCAACGTATGTTTATGTACAGTTCTCGCATTTCTAATTTGCCTTCCGATTTCTATCAGGCGCTTATTAAACGATGGTTGATATAACAGCCTAAGGATAAATACATACTGCTTTGCAATAAGATTTTGTTTCACAAGAGAAAAAATATCAATTTCATTCGTGGAAAACTAGATATTTTAATTTTAAAACTAAACTTCTGAACTGATTTTGATAACTATGAGACCAATCTGCAAACTAATTTGTAAATAAAAAAAAATCTTCAAACTGTTTTATTACTAATGGAATTATGAGGTACCTAACAAATACAAATGAATCGAGTACCTCCCTTTTGAAGTCGGTTGAAAAAATGAGAAATTAGGTTCAGTAGTAACATAGTCGCAAAAAATTCAAGCGAATTGAAAAACTATTACTTTGAAAATTCCTTAAAAAATAACAGTGTTATCGTCAGTAGTACATCCGTCCCCCGGGGAAACTTTACACACTTGAAAACGGTTGTTAGTTTAACTGGCATGGACACTGACAGCGGAAAGCCGGCGGCGCCTTCTCGTGACGACCGTGGTAATAGGTACTGTCACCAGTTTTTATGACGAGTGTGGTGAGATCCAAGTCTTGGGCTTATTTATAAATTACTCACCACACTTACAATCTCCCAAAACGTGTAGTGAGTCATAGGTTTATTTTACAAACAAAGATTTTAAACAACATTTAAAAAATACATCTAATTTGTCATTAAATATATCAATATCTGGCTGCTGAGCAATTAGAGAATTGAGCAGAGAAATAGCCTGATAAGTGGGAGCAAACTGAGCAGTACAAGTGTAGAACCGGCGGTGCCGATAGTAGTCGACAAGCACGCAATCGCATGCAGCGTTGGGGTTCGTACAAAGAACAACGGCTGAGAGTTGCAGGATTGTCTATTATGCCGTGAACCAACCGAGTATGTTAAATAACCGAACCGTGAAATTTATAGTATATACTTTGTCTTTGATATTGTACTTTTAAATTATTTTCAAAAACCTGTAGTGCTGAGTCAAAGACAATTAATAACAAGCGATAATCAAGAAAACTCGAACCGTCCTTAATTAAGAAAACTCTTTTCAAAACTTGGTTTGTTCGAGAATTCAACTGGGAACCGCTTCCACACAGTCTACCATGAACCATAGAAGCTTTCGAATGTCCCAAAATATAATAGCCTTAAAATTATGTGCGTCAATGTTGTATGCAGAGAGGCTCAATATAGTGACACAATAAGTGTGATGTGGGACAATGAGTGGGTAGAATAAAATGATTCGAAATCGGAGCCATGACAGAGGCACATCTGTCGACTTTTGATCACGTCCGGTGTAACCTGAAGGTCTACCATGGAATGAAATTCCGAATTTTCGGACTCATTTTCGTATTTTTGTTCATACCGAAATCGGTTCAGTAAATGGAGCTTAACATTTCGTTTGTCATAAATTCTGCTATAAAAGTCCAAAGAAATCACATTTTAATATTTTTAATCAGTATGTATTATGTTATTTTAACATCGAATTTATTTATTTATATACATATTTTTGGCGAGTTTTAAAGTTTTTACCAATGCACTCACTAAAAACCATTATTATTATTATTGATATTTCGTTCGGCTCCGAAATATTGGAAAACATTTCGTGGTAGACCCTTTGATCGAAACGCCTAGATAAATCCAATAAATTATAATAGTTTACTTAAATGATCGCATTAATTCTCGTCTCTTATATAATATAAAACATTCAGCGAGAAATATCTAAAAGTCAGTATGTAGGTAAGTATGGAAATTGTAAGAAGCCACATTGGCGCGGTCAATAGTCCGTTAATGGGTGCCCAATATGAATTTTCTCCCAATCTAAAGGCTGATGGGATCGTAAATCGCATATTAAGATATCCAATATTTGTGATCAAGGGCTACCACTTACCATATGTGGAACGATGAGAAAAGGAAATAAAATTTCCATTTTTATCCAACTACACATAGATTTGCGTCAATGTGGAGTTAAAATCAATACGCTCACTATTGTGAACGTAATCTTCACTATCACTACATAGTAAAAAAGTCGATTCATGTCTGTCTGTCCCTATAAATGCATAGATATTTTAAACTACGAAACCGATTTTGATGTGTTTGATTTTTTGACACTTAGTATGGCCAACAAACTGACTAGCGCAACTAGTGGTAACCGTCGCCTGTAAACGTGAACAGCACCATGTATATTACAGGATACACTAGTACGCTCACAGTACACCTAATGCGTTGCCATTCCTGAGGATTAAGATGTTATGCCTCCGGACGCTGTAATTTTATTGCCATATCTCACCATTCAAACAGAAACAGCCGTGCAAGCGCAGCAGCTTGACTGAATAAGCATGAGTGGGACAGAGGTCCCTATGCAGACGGTACTTGTAAAGTCTGCCTCTGATAAATTATTATTATGTATTACCATTTCAAAACAAATTTATATAATCGAACCAATAAACGTTATACAAATAAAAAAAAAAACCAATCAGGTCGCTCCGCCTTATCTGTCAATAACTGCATCGCTTGATGTTATACCTGGAACAATGAAAGAAATCATTATTGATTAACTTACAAAATAGAATATAAGAGCTGACAACCCTATAGTGAGAATTGAAGGCCATCTTTGGCACTTCAGCAGCAATGAACAGCATCTGCGGGATTTATTTTATGGGACATTTTATTGCTCACATTATTGAGAGATTTCAACAAGTTTTCCCAAGCACATCGTGTACAAATAGTATACTTCTATGTATTTAGAAGCATTATTTATATATACATACATACATCTACATTATTGGTGATTGCAGTGATACGCAAGCGAGTTGGTTAAACACTAATTTATTCATTGAAATAATAAATAGAACAAATTGTTACCGGCCAGTAATACTACAGTATTATACAAAATTATTAGTGGCCAGTACGTGAACATAATATACTACATCTTTTTTCCTTCAAAAGAAAAAATAGTAATAAACTAACGAGTTATACAAATAATGAAAAAAAAAAGTGGTAGAACAACAAATATTTCGATATCTATGTATAGTATATTGTAAGTAACATGGTTAATTATTAGTGGCCAGTACGTGAACATAATATACTACAGTGGTCGAATCTTTATAGTGAAGTAGCTGTATGTATTTTTGTTAGATTTGAAAGAATTCCAAATGTGGCGATGTTTTAAATACGGAATAAATTAATACTAAAAATTAATTTGAGAGTAAACCCAGTCAATTGCAAAAAAGTAAAAATCAAAATGGGCATAGCAAAATAGAGCTTAATATATCGCATAAAAAAATATAGACAAATTATAGCAGCATATTATCTTTCATTCATTCATCATTTTTGAAGTCAAATATAATATGAGAAAGGTCTTGCAATATTTTTTTATACAACTTAGAATGGCAAACAAGCTGACGGCCCACCTGTTGGAAAGTGGTAACCGTCGCCTATAGACATGAGCAGTACCATGAACATAACAGAGTATACTGTTTCGCCCATGGTAACCCCCATGCGTAGCCATTCCTGAGGACTCAGATGTTATTCCTCTGTACCCTGTACATTCACGGCATATCCCACCCTTCAAACCGAAACACAGTCATGCAAACACAACTGCTTTATAGTTGAAACATAGAATACAGGTAAAAATTTCACATAGATACATATAATACAAAAGTAAATGTTAAACTAGGGAGCAAAGCGGAGGGCGGGAACTTACATTACCTATCTAGATCAAATAAATCGTACACTCGTCAGAAGTTAAGAACATTAATTTTATCAGAGGGAGACTTCGTCAAGTAATACAAAGTACAGCCATAGATACGGATATTTAAATAATCCTAGCTCAAAATTATCTTACTGTATTGTACTACGCACATGTTATCGAGAAGATAAGGAATCTACTATTTAAATATATAACGTAGGTATAGCTCGTTTAGATATTATCCAAAATCGTATCATGAGAGAGATCCAGAGTTACCGGAAGAGGCGAAATGAAAAAAAATTAAAAATAAATAAAAACATCAGATTTTACAAATAAGGAAATAATATAAAAACAATTTACCTTGCACAATTAACAGCAGAAACAGGTATGATGATCAAATTATCTCATCTGGACTTACAGTCGTAACGTTTATGAGAGAACGAAGAAATTTTTAGAGAATGACTCTTTATAACTATTAATGAAAACTTTAAGGATGTGATAGAAGCTAAGTAAGAGCCTTTTACGAGGATTGCTTCCTGGGCCGCGCTCGCAGACTCACCGGGGAAAAAAGAAAAAGTTTGAGTTCATTTTCAAATATCTGGCCATCTAAACACAAAGGATCCTGCCCGGACTCAAAATGTTGATTATGTGGGTCGTGTACTGCAAAACATGTATGTGTTGTAACTTGCAATTTTAGAGGGTTCCTCATGATTGGATTAAAATGTCTCTTTTTAAAAGGCTTGGCAGACGAAGCAAACATTGAAATAAAATTTGTTCGCGCACAAAATGTCTCTCGTTTGCACAAACCATTAAGCAGTAAAATATTACCCCAAAAGGTTTAATTGATGCTCCTTTCCACTTTGGGTTTGCTGGAAGAGAACTCTTGCAGAATTAAGCACGCCTTTGTATATTTGCTTTCTACTGTCATATCTCTGTTTGTTTTATTATTATGTACAACAAATAAATAAACATATATTTAAAAATTATTACTCAAAAAGTGTTCAATCAAACAATGAAAGTGATATTTTAAAGTACTTAAATGTATTGAAACAAATTTTGTTCTGCAGAAAAAAACGATTTCAATTGTGAACGCGTACACACAGACCGATTAACGATGACATATTCAATAGACATGCTACATTCAAAATATTTGGATTTAGAATCGTCACAAAGTTTCTATGGAACCAACACGGTAGTATAATCCTATCAATTGCAAAGAAAATTGTAAAAATCGGATCAAAATTGGCAATGTATTTCGTAATATAGCCACAAGAAATTTAGATGAATTGAGAATCTTATTCTTTTGAAAGAATAAAAAGCTTAGTAAATCTTCTTCCAATTGCATCACAATCGCGCAAAAGGTAATGAAAACTCATTACAGCGCAAGACAAAAAGAAATCCAATATATGAATGAACCAATAAGCAAATTAAAAACCTTCTGAAGCTTTTCAATCTTTTCCTGAGGGGAGAGAGATACTCGTAATTAATCCGTTTCAAAAAGGGGCATGTTCCGGTTAAAACCAGTTCAATCTGGCTCACAGCGGTTTAAACGAGATCTAGTGAAGTTTGTAATTCCAAATATAAATTCCTTATATTGGATACGTTATGGAGTAGACGGTGGATATATTAACTGTCTGTTTATTCTCTTTAGATGTCTGCGTAACACAACGATTTAATACATGTGTCTGTGAAACAAATAATAGTCTAGATAATGAACATATTAATTGGTAGTGGTACTACTACACAATTGATGGATAAGTAAGTTTTTACTTTTTTATTTATTTACTCTAACAAACTTTATATACACACTTATTCTTCAATTCAAGAAAATTTAAGAATTTAAATTTGCACATATTGAAGCACACTTATAACAATGAATAAATGGTAAACTAAAAGTAACATATCAAGCAGGAAATGTATCATGATTCTATATATTGTTTAAACCCTATTTTATCATGCACAATCGGTCACGACGCATCATTTCCTGTAACTTAGTCATTCATGGACACGTCGCGAATACTGGTTGCGAATCTTGACTTTAAGTTACATTAAATACAAAAAATATGTATAACGCCCTTATATATCCACGAGTTATAATAAAGTAAAATATTGAAACAAAGCCTACTCACGCGTAATTTGATTTTTGATATAATTATCTTGACATTTTGCAACTTTGAACATTTTAAGTGATATTTCACTTGAATAATTTAAATCTCAAGTCTCTGATACTATATAATTGTATTATACTCCAAGTATTATACTCCAAGTGAAAACGATTCATGGCTTAACATAGATATAAATTTGATTATGTATTGACTGTAATTCAGCTGTACGTTTTCCAAAAAATAAATAAATAAATAAATAAATATAGGAAAATCGTCCCTCTTAAAACATCTCTAAAGTCTAACTGCGGTTGCCAATCCGCCTGCCAAGCGTGACAACTACTGACAAACCCTCCAAGGGGGAGGCTTATGTTCAGCAGTGGACAGTTAAAAACTGTTGAATCATATTAGTATCATATCATTTTATTATTATAAGGGCTTAAAAGGTTAATTATGATGACAGGAAACATAATCCTTAAGTTAAAAATGTCCAATTGATAAATGTTCAATACTGAAAGAATAGATGAGTCGATCTTACACCTAGCGCTTTCTGATAGATTGACAATTAAAACGGACCGACAAGCTTCTCTAATACAAATTACTGGCATCTACTGTACATCCAAGTTTCGGTCGATATAATGACGGGGTTTTTAATTAGTGCGCCGGGAGCTCCTGAACGATATTTCAGATCGGATGATTCAAGAAAGAATATGAAGGAAGACTCCGATAATTATTGTCTTCATAATGATCTGATTCTCGGATAGCTCGAAGAAAGGTAGGTCGAGGCGGGAAGCTAAGGAATTCTAACAGAAATATAAATTTCATTTTAATATCCGTGCAATGAAGTTTATTAAACTAAATCAAATAAAGCCTGAAGAATTTAACAATTACGCGATAATTTTATTTTATGTAAATATTGCTGTTACAATAATGTTTTTACGTCCAAAGGCTATCGCTAGCGAACTTGAATAATAGACATAAAACAATTATTTATATACACTTATACAAGAGGTGCCGTCTCAGGAGCAAACAGAATTATGGTTAATTTAATTAAGGGTAAGGGTAATAATAAAGTTTAAGTCGCAAAGTCTGTGAAGGAAACAAGGACCTCATAAAGTACATTGAAACAAAATGAGTTTCGTTTCAATTATTCGCAACTTTGTAGATATCAGTTTTGAATTAATAATGGTGAAATCTACTGTTTAGGAAACAAATACTTTTTTTTTGTATATGTACACACATATATGTATTCATAAATAACACGATGCTCAAATCAGGCTACATCAGCTGCGACCACGAGCAGACTAGTCATGTTATTTTCGTTGAATGCCATTTCTTTTATGCCATTAATGTGGCAAACAAGCATACGACCCACATGATGGTAAGCGGTTATAGTAGCTTATAAATGTCTGCAATACCAGGGGCATTACGCGCGCGTTGCCGATTGGGTCTGTAGATTGAACATAGACTTCCAACATTTTCCACATAGAAACTTTTAAAGAGCATATACCATCTTTTACGTTTTATAAAAGGTGGGAATTGACTCAATCATTTCCCTGGTCTATCTCAACGTTTCGACCACCTTAATTAATTTCAATTTGATATTATATGCAAATCTTTAAAGACCCATATAAACTAATTTTCTAATAGACTTGAATCAAAATTATAAACTTTATTTTATGGTGGTTCATCAAATATCGAATTATGTTGGATTATATATATATATAAA